GTGCTGGGCCCGTGTGCTGCTCAGGCTGCTGTCGGGGAGATGTCGCCCCCGAGGTGCCGCAGGGCCAGGAGCGGCGGCGGCCGGCGGCGGCTGTCCCGCTGCTCCGGGCAGGGATGGTCTGGCGATCCCTGCCGGCCCCGCGCAGGCACAGCGCGCCCGCTGCGGAGATTCACAGGCAGCTGGAGCCGCGGAAAATAGCAATCAGAAGGCACACTATGCACCAAGCATTCACTCAGGGACCCGTTCGAGGACTATTTTCTGTGACAGGAAGTATTCTGGTCTACGTCCTGCAGGTAAAATGTTTCCCTCAGCCAGTAAAGGAGAAATAAAGCACACCTGGCATTTTCCACTAAGTTACATAAATGCTGGTGGAGCCATACTATCAGCAGTATGTGAAGATGTAGAGTCTCAGCCAGACGTGTCGTATTGTTACTTTAACTGAAAGAAATTAGGTTTGCCAAGTAGATGAGAGGTAAAAAATATTTCCTAGTTTCTGTGGGAACACAGACAACCTTCACTTCAGAGCCCTCCACAGGACAGGACCAAAAGCTTCAGAAGTTTACCGCTGGTTACTATGTGATAGATTTTTTTTATTTAAAAAACTGTTAAAGTAAGCAGCTGATTGCTCTGAGCCACCTGATCTACTTGAAGATGTCCCTGCTCATGGCAGAGGGGTTAGACTGGGTTCCTTCCAATTCAAACTCTTCTATTGATTGTGTGATCTTCCACTGCATTAGAGAATAAATTCTCATGTTTCTCACATAGATCTGTAATTTTATAATACTTTTCTAGAAGCCAAAATAATTTTACTCTACACAAGGGGGGAAAGCTCAAACAAGCCACTTGCACAAATTTCAACTGAAATTATGAAGTCTGTTTTACCTAAAAGCTGTTTCTGTCAAACTTTTATCTAACTCAGCCAGCTTCTTATCTGTTTTCAACAGACTCCTCTGTGTTTCTTTGTTCCCAGTGTCTTCTCAGTTTGTGTTCTTGTTGTATTTTGTGGGGGAGGTTTTGATTAAAGATACTCTTCAGTTTCTTGAAGGGCAACGCATTCTTAGCCCTGCTGGGACAAGCTACTTATGTTTCTACAGGAATAATGCTTTACAGACTGAGATAAGGCTTGTAGGAACAAAGAACTTGTGTCAGACCACATAAATCATTGGTAAAGCAAACGACTGATTTTTCATTCCTTCGTAGGGAAGGGGGAAAAGAGCTAGAAGAAAGGAAGAATACCTGTTCTTTTATGTAGTATTTCATCTAGTTAAAGATGGTGCTTATTTATATAGCTTGCCTCTCCTATAAATTTCTCTAGTCATCCAAGTCATACACAACTCTCAACAGGAAATGTTCATCTTGTTTCTTAGTTAATGACAAATGAATTTGTGTGGATTAAATATTTTCTCTAGTACTAGCAAATTCACATACCAAGTCTTTTATAAATTTAACAACAGTTAATTCAAATGTAAAGTTCAAGTTAGTGAATTTTACAAGGATCAGTCACACAACTTCTGAAGGGCTCAGATTAGGGATTAGCAATTGTAACAATGGTTTCTTAATGTTTTTCATCTCGATTCCTGTCCCTTAGGAGCAACAGGAACAACAATTAACGTTGTTCATATCACAATACTGGTATCAGTACCTTTTTATGCTGGTGTAAAATACTTGTGAAGGAGTTCCAGACGCAGAAGCAGTGCAGGGTCATGCCTCACACATTCAGTCTGGAAAGAGCTGATAGATTTTTTACTTTAAGCAAATGTTAAATGTTTCAGCAAATAGTTTTTATGAAGAACAGAGGGAGTGTGCTACTGATTGCTCTTGTATCACTGTCTAGTGGAAGGGTCTGGGAAAATGCCATCAAGTTATATGAAATTAAATTGCCCACAACAGAGGGATTGTTACACAAAAGATGTCTCAGTCTCTGAATCATTTGGTATAGACATTTTGGTTTTAGACAGAATTGTCGCAATTAAGTTGTGAATCCTTTGGGTTCTTCCTAAGACAAATTCAGATACTGTGAGAACCCCGGCCTTGCTCTGGGGTCTCATGTGGTGGTGAAATTCCTCCTCCAACCCGTGCTTCCAAAGAAAAACTCTGCAGGCTTTAGCTGTTCGGTCTCAAGACAGTTTATTGCTAGTTATCTAACAGATTATGTTCTTGGACTGCAGCTATTTGATCAGCGGCCTGGGTAGAGGCACACACACACCCTGACATCCTCTCTGTCTGCTGTCTTCTTTGTCTCTCCCTCCGCCCAGGGCTGCTGCTATCTTTTATAAGATATATTACGTATAACATGTTTACAATTATTCCCCAATACCTACTACCTACGTTGCCAAGTGTTTTTCTACTCTAAACCAATCTGTGAGTGCCAACATCACCAAGAACATGGAGGTAAGGAAGAAGAAGGAGGAAGAACAGGATCAGCCCACTTTCCTCCATCTTAGAACTTCTGACCCCCATGTACAAAGTAAAAACCCCCCTGTACATGTGTTAAAACCCCCCTGTACAATACTAAAAAAATTTCCCCTCTACTTTGTAACTACTTTTACTATACTAGCTAACCTTTTGTGATTGCTTGTTCCACCTCCAAAGTTGGTAATTCATTCCATGGCTCAAACTCAAAATCACAGCTGTTTCCAGATGTCTGCCAGGGTTTAGAATGCTTCTGACCAAGGCCTGGAACCTCTAAAAATGTCTGAGAGACATTTTGAGTTCCCACAAGATACTATAGTTACTAGGTAATTGGGGGGAAAATTGTCATGGGTGTTCTATATGAAGGTTAATTGGGTGCTTAAATGTTTTTCCCCAAATGAGACTAATGACAAGTATCTGCTTTGCACAGAGACACATATCCTGTATACTGCATAAAGGAGCAGACACTTGACAGAGAGGTACAAAATGTTTTACTCATAGGACATGCAGATTGGTTTTGCTTTCCTCAGAGGAATTCTGCAGAATAATTATCTTGCTGAGATTAAGCAGTCTAATTTTAAAGCCTAGAAAAATGGTAATCATGAGATACAGGCACTGAGTGAAGGAAGCCTTAGACTCTGCATACTTAGAACACAAAAAACCCCAAACCTCTTTAAATTTCCCTATACTGCACATAATTAAGGAATTATTCTTCTTACTCATCAGGATTATAGGATTACATCAATGTAAAATAAAAATATACCACCACCATCCCCAACCAAGCCAAAACTAAAAAATTCACCACACCAAATCCTTACAAGAAAAATTCCATACAGGTACAAAGAATAATTGTAGGACTTTAAATGCCAAATTCAGGTTTTCAATTTAACAGGTTTACTATGCTTACTCCTAGAAGACATGTTATTACCAATAACTTCAGTAGCTTTCTAAGTGACATCTGTAGCAAATTTTTAAATACACCATTGCATTAAAGCATGAAATCTTGGACTGATGATCACTGACATTTGGGATTATGTCCCTGTTACTTGGGAAATTAGGGAACCAAAATAGTTTCTGTAGTTACCCTAAAATGATCACCCATACTGAAAAACCTGAAATGGCTTTATAAAGCAGTGCCTGTTGAGTATGTTCCTTTGGCCTTCCTGCTCCAATTTTAAGATTTCCCTTTTCATTATAGAGCTGGTAAAGGATGTTTTCCATATCTCATGAGGCCTTTAAAGACTGTCCCACGAAGGTTGAGAAATGCAATTAAGTCCAGTATAGATCAATAGTGCAATGACAGCAGTGATAGTCCTCAGAAAAAAATCTTTTATTCATCAATAAAACTATAGTTTACAGTAGTATTTTCTAAATAAATTATAGAATTTCTCTTTTACAAGAAATTAAGTAAAATCAAAAATATTTCAAGGACAATATATGTACACAACATAAGGCCATATTATAAATAACATTTTAATCTCCTTTTTACCAACAGTGAAAGTATCTTTCAAGGCTCATTTTCATATGGTATGTGTAGAGATTTGCCCTAACCCTCATACAACATCCGTTCCATTTTCCACTGATGTGGGCCTAAGCAATTCGAACGGAGGGAATCAGAAAAATGAAATTTATTTTATTCACCACTGTCTTTATTTTTAAATAGGTAAAGTAGGAAATATATTTTGCTTGTGCATAGTTACAGAATGCATGCAAATGAAACCATGAGAGAGCTGATAAGAAAATATCACTTCAGAGTCCAAAAAAGGTGATTGGCAATATTGAAAAGCAAGCAGCCTGAATACACAGTCCTTCACAGTTGAGCAAGCAATGGCAGATGACAGCAGAGTGTGGAATGTCTCATGTCATTTTTGTCAAGTTCATCAATCCTTTCTATAGTTCAAAGATCCCGGCACTTCTTAGAATTAGTTCTGTTGATTATTACTCTTTGTCTATTAGGCTTAGCAAATCCTCCTTAAACGAGGAGTGCAGAAGGTGCTCTTCATTAACCATGGTCACTTTTCTTAGTTTTAATCTTCATGTATTCTTTGTTACTGTAAATACAGAAATTACAAGTTAAGAGTTGTGTTTACTTGTTTTCTTACAGAATTATAAACGGGTAACATTTTTCCTCCCCTAAACAGGCTGCAGTACAATTTAGCAGTGATTCTCTTATGAGCTTGAGCCCTAATCAAAAGCACTGGGTCTCTTTTCTTGTACAACAGTTAACCCCCATGGGTTTTGTAGATGTTGCAGTACACTTGTATTACGTGAACTTGAACTACTTGCTGCTGCAAAATGCTGAGCACTCTGGATATCGGAGAAAACAGAACAATCTGAGACCACTCAGCAATTCACAACAGCTTATTTTTATCTTGCAGAACTGTGGTATTTACTACTTAAAAGTGGCAGTCTTCGTATGTCATGAATATCAGTGCTCTCAGCTTCTTCATGATGGCCTTTCCCCAGATGAAAAATCATACCTATCAAAAAACTTTCAAGCACAATTAATGTTCAGTCAATGTAGTGATCATTCGAGTTTAAAAAAAAAAAAAAGTAAAAAAAAAGTTTATAATCTTAATGGATTACAGTTTACCCTCATGTCATAGAAATAGTTGATCACATCTTGGCATCCCTGTGGAGTTAGAGATTAAAAGAAATTCTTCTTTACTAAACATTTTATTATGACAACTCAGACTAAAGATAAAGTGACAGCTGAAGAATATATTGCAGTAAACTGACTGCATCTCAGCTGATATATCCAAAATGAAGCAAGACAAAATCAAAACAGAGAGATCTGTAGTGGCCTTACTCTAAAACCTCATTAAAAAACACTACAAAGGTGTAAGGTCCCATTTATTAAACAGATTTTTAAGGTCACCTTTACATTATGCTATTTGATACAAGCACTTAACTAACCTTTAAATAGTTTTACAACAGTCTAATCTTGATTATGAACAAAAAAATCTCTGAAGGCTTTTCTTAAGCTTATCTCAGAGAAAGGTAGTAGATTTAAATCAATGTTTTTGTTATGACTTCTAGCACTAGCCCTGGAACCTTGAGGAACCTATGAAAACTTTGAACTTCCTACTGTATTGTGCACCAGTATTAGAGTGTCCATAATCACTGATGCCATTGAGCACAGTGCCAATTTCTCAGGTGCTGTTTGCTTGCTCTCTTGGGAACTGTGGTCTGGCAAGTAGAGTTGACTGCCATAAATACTAGTACCAATAAACAAGATTATATTATATGAACCAAGAAAAATCAATCAAAATTTTCATTAGCATAATCTTGTTTCTGTCTGAAAGCTCAGATATGAATTACTGCATATCCATTTCTGACAAATATAGAGATCACACAGCACAGCTTCCAACTCTTGGGACTTATTACTCCTTTGCACTAAGGTGGCTATTGGTATTGCTGATGCTAGTTTTATGGTATTCCACTAATTATGCAATGGAATCATGACTAACATATTCTTGTCCTCTTTCCTCTGACCCTTACAAAACATTTCAGTGAAAAATTCCAATAAAAGTTGCATAACAAAGTTAGAGAAAAGAGATCTGACAATAACTTGTAGCAACTGCCAACTGTATGAGTCAATCACAGAAATACTGCTGATGGTACTAATGCCCTTTTAAGAAGATAGGATTTTCAGATGTTCACATTTATGCCAGATACAGTCCAGTACTGTATTATTTTTGAAAGAAATCCATCTATTTTTAGGTGCAGGACATGATCCTTTAGGCAACATTGTATCCACTACAGAACTTTTGGGGTTTCATTGATTACAGATAAAGGAAACATTTTTTTAAAATAAAAACTGAGTTTGGCTGTAGCAATTTGGTCCAAAATGATAAGTAATGCACAAATGACATTATGGGAATTATTCCTATAATCGCTGCCTGAGATGTCTGACACTGTATAGATAATGGATTTACAATGTTTGAGCCTACTTGGGGCTTTTTGTCTTGGAGCATTTTTGTGCTCCAGTACTCTTTCCATGGATATGTTTTTGAGCTGACTGATTTCCTCTTTTGGTGTTTTAAAAGCTCCAGGCATGAAAACATGTAAGTTCTGAGATAATACGTGCTGGTATTTTAGCACTTGGCTTCTTCAGGCAACCTATTGCTTGTGATCTGAATTGGTACCTTTTTAATCTAATCAAGCACCTAATTCCTGTGTCTGATTTTCATGCAAGGGTGACTAAAATGTTCCTTCTTAGATAATGTTTCTTCTGCAAGAACACCTCTGCCAAACTACATTTGACTGCTCGTTTGTTTTTCACCTCCAACCAGGTTTCAGTTTTATGGGACACATAGGCCTCATTTGTTCCTCTCCTTTTTTGGATGATGCATGGATGGATACAGGGAAAACATAGATAAGAACAGAGGAAAGGAGCAGTTAACTGTGCTGTATAAAACAAGTTGGTTTGCCCCTTTCAGCCTTAAACAAGTTCTGTTTTGAGGAGAGTGCTTGTTTGGCTCTACCATGCACACTTAACATCTTAAGGATTATTATGCTTTCAGGGGAAAGAAAAGATGTCTGTAAATGAGGAGGTCATAATTCCTTTCTCATATTCCCAGCATTCCAGTTCAGCCTACCAAGTTTTTCCACCAGTATCTTCAGAGGAAATGGTGAGACAGAGAAACTGAAGTTTCCATAGAAAGAGCAACACATCAAAATTTGAGGTATGCTGTGCAGTGTGACTGCACAACTTCTAGCTTGTTTTTACATGTATTCTGCCTGGGAATTGCTTTAATTTCATCTGCACTTTTTATTATTCCACAACAGTACCCTGAAGATAACTACACCATGATTAAAATTTAATTAAAATTATTGGAGAGAGTACAGAAGAAAAGGAGTACTGAAGAGTATGAAGAGTTAGAAAGTTTTGACAGCTTCTAAACAAGCATTTTATAGACCAATGATTGTTAATCTTCTAACCTATGCAACTACAGCAGCTTTGACATACATAATTAATCTTCAATATTATTTTAAGACTTCAAAATCCTATAATAAAATTGGCATTTGGAAATAAACCACACCATAAGTAATTTTAAATGTAATAGTATAATCTATGCAATTCTTCTGACACAAATAAAATAGAAATACACTATTCAGGCTCTAAATACATTGGGCTTGCTCATCACTACAGATATTCCATTATTTTATTTTACTGAAGCACTTAGCAATCCATATCTTCAGTAGCAGTGATGTCTAAATATAAATTTTATGAGCCTTTCCTTTAACAACAGGAGGCAATGCTGTATTTTCATGTGAAAACTTCTGTACTACCCAAGAAATTTGTATTGTAGTTAAATATACAGAAGTATTCTGTAAGCAAAAAATAATTCATTAATGAAAGCCTATAGGCAGGACATAAGATCCTATAGACTGGACTCATATTTATTTATTAAAATCCTATATTTATCACCAGTTGACTTAACCTATACAGCATCACAATGGAACAAATTTAGAAGTTTTTCACTGCTATTTACATGCATGTCCTTTTTCTGTTGGAAGTATAAGGGAAATCAAGCCTATTTGAAGTAAATCAATTAAATATGTAAGCCTTACTTCTTACTTACTACTACCTAAGCATTACTACTTACTTACTGATTTTACTGATATTGTAGTACAATGTATCAGATATCTTTGTAAATATTTCACGGGAAGGCAAAGAAAATACAGTAGGATAGTTTATAATAGCATGTGTTGCTTTTTTAGCTAGAGAAAATCAAAAATTTGATACTTCACTGCAAAACAAAAGAAGGAAGATTACTTTTATTCCTTATTTTTTAAGTGGAATTATCACTTTTAAGGCACTCCATAGTGATGCTGGACTACAGTCTTCAGGATTGGCTGCATTTGTTAAGGAACTTTTGCAAGATTGGACTTCTATCTTTTACTAATCAAGTTCCATAGAACACTGAGACAGTGACAACAGCATTTACTGACAATGCCTGAACTGAAACCAATATATAGGGCTTCAAGGGAATTTTAAAAAGAGATCAAATGTATTTCCAGAGAAAGAAGGAAAACCCTGCTTAGTAGATTTCTACATGAAAGTGCTAAATTGGAATGTGTTACCTTCTCTGTTTCTGGTTTATATACAAGAAACCTATTTATCTCAGACAGAATAATTTGTTTCCAACTGATCTATCATTGTATTACATATTCATAAAAGCAAGAAACCTTTATTGTTTGAAGTTATGCAGATAAACATTTCAAATTCAGAATTTTTTATCTCCTATAATCTATTTATTAATTATTATTAATTTAATTTATTATTTATTCCTTCCATTTAATTGATAATTAAAATTATTTGTATGAATTAATCAGTTTCTTCAGGGTGCAGAAAAAGTGTGCTGCTAGTTCCAAAAAGCATATCTGATTCTCTCCACTTAAAAACTTTTTATTCTTTCAGACCTTTGCTCAGGGGAATAAACATTGGGTATTTGTATGACATCCAAAGTTGGATTTTAATTATTTTTATGTTGATATTTATGAGTGGAATACCCATCTGCTTACTGCAGTCTACAAGATATATTAGTAATGAATGTTCTACAAACTTAAAACTAACTAGAGATGATGATCACACCTGAAACTCATATAGACAGCTTTACAAAAGGTAAAGCCTGTGCCTGTCACTAGATTTCCAGAGCATTCCACCATCCACCCTACAGACTTCAAACCTAAAAAGAAATACTTCACAGTGCTAAACAGTATTATTGTTAAAGAATACTGTTGCTTTATAAACTAAATTCAAAAGCTATCAAGAAGAAATTGTTTCACTGTTTAAAGGGGGCCAAAAGAACCACAGATCAGTCCAGGCTAAAGGGCCCATAAGAGGCCATCTAATTCAACCTTTTGTGGGAAAGGCAGCCTGGAAGAGATTATTGAGCATCACTGTCTAGCTGCATCTTGAAAACCTCCTGTGATGGGAACTTTACCACATACCCCTGGGGGAGTTGTTCCAGTGAAACATTCATCATTATAAAATCACGCTTATTGTAAATCATTCTTCTTGCATCATTCTCATTGTAAAAACAGTCATTTCTTAGGGAGGAAACCTCCCTCCCTACAACTTGTATCCACTGCTCCTAGAGAAAAGGATGATCTCAATACTATCTGTAGTCTTCCCTTTAAGTTTTGGAAAACTGTGTTGAGGTCCCTCCTGAAAATTTTGTGGACTGAAAAGACTAACTTTTGCAGTCTTTCTTCAAATGTCAAGTTCTCCCCAGTCTTAACTACCTTTATGGCACTCCTTTGACCCATCTTCAGTTCATCCATATCTGTTTTGGAACTGTGGGGGCCTGAACTGGACACACAACTCCATGTGCAGTGTGACAAGTGCTGGTGAAGAGGGATGGCCACATCTCTCCTTTATCAGTGCCCCGTGGATGCAGCTCAGGATCCACTCTGTCTCAGTAGCTGCAGCAGTGCACTGCTGACCTGGTGTCTGTGTGCTGTCTGCTGACACTCTCGGGCTCCTCTTGGCAAGGCTGTTCCACAGCTCATGGGTCCTAAGCCTGGCCAGGCTCTTTGGTTTTGTGCTCCCAGGTGCAGGACTCTGCACTTTCCTTGGTTGAACTTTACACAGTTCTTGTGGCCCAGTCTTCCAGCCTGCTCATATCTCTGCAAGGTGGCTCTCCCTGCTGATGTGTCCCCCTCAATTGACATCAGTTTAGTGACACAGCAAATGTCACCACATTTGGGTGCTTTTGGTCCTATTATCCAGATAATTCATGGAGATGTTACAATGTGGAGCCCAGTACTGATCCCTGGGAGACTCACCTGGGACTGCGGCTGCCAGCCCCAGTAAAACATGTTGATCGCCTGTGAGATGATTGCTGCCCATCTCACAGATCACCCCCATCCAGTCTATATTTGACATCTGTCTAGCTGTGGGGACAACATGACACATGTCAAATGCTTTAGGCAAGCAACATCAACTGCTTTCTCCATATTGACTGAATATGGTAATTTGTTTTAGAAAGGTGATCAGGTTAGCCTGGCATGATTTGTCTTCGATAAATCTGTGCTGGATTTTCCCAGTCACTTGCTTAATTTATTTGGTAATAATTCCTAAGAGGCTCGTTCTGCCACTTTCCCAAGGACGGTAATAAGGATACTAGGTCTTCTTTTGGGCCATTCTTATAGACAGGTATGAGATCTGCCCTCTTCCAGTCATCAGGGATGCCCCTGATCTCTATGAATTTTCAAAAATAACAGGACAGTGGTCCTGCAACAATATCAGCCACTTCTGCTGACACCCTGGGGTATATTCCCTTCTGGGCCTTGCATTTATGTGAGTTGAGGATTTGCAGGCCTCTACTGGTGGGTCAACATGTGTGTTGTTTTATCCTGGGAGCTATGGTCTGGCTCTGGCCACTCTGCTGAACAAGGAAGAAAGAAGGTACTGAGAACCTCTGTCTTGCCAGCATTATCTCCACCTTTTTCCCTGACTGGTCTAGTAATTGGCTTGTGTCTTCCCTGGGCTTCTGCTTAACTGCTGATGCAAGAAGTAACCAAAAGTATGTATTCTATCACCATCTGTTAAAACCAGGTGGGGCAGTGTTCCTTATCTCCTCCATGACTCATCCCTGATAACTCCCTGGTGGTGGGGCCATCAAGCCTCACTGCATGACTGATAAAATTACATCATCCCACCGTGAGATGCTTTGCCCAGGGGGAGGAGCCAACAACTCCCCTAGGTGTGCTGGACTATTAAATTAGTAGCTGTTAACCGAGTACTATACACACTCAAGCGTTGCTGCCAAAGATGAAGGAAAAAACATCAGTGGCATAGTCTACAGAAAAAGAGAGACTGTGACAAATATATTTAATCTTGATGTAAGATCAGGCATAAACATGTTTCATCTGAACACAAGAAATTTTTTTTCTGGACAGATAATTACTGAAACAACTGCAGGGATGTGGCAGTGTTCCCATTGCTGGAGGATTTTAAGCTGTGGTGCAAAAAGCTGTTAGATAATATCTAGGCTCCCTTTTCTACAAGAGTTGGACTGGATGATCTCTTGAGGCTCCATCAACCTGAGCTGTTTTATGATTCTAAGATAGTATGGATTTCTCAAAGCAAAGATCAGGTAACTCTAGGGATAAGAAAAATAAAGCATGCAATAAATTATCTAGAAAGGAAACAAACATGTATCTGTGAAACTTTTATTAGAAACATGAACAAACTTCCCTCTTTTGAGTCTTCATCTCTTCATCTCTCATTGCCATGAGAGTCAAGGGGAAATATTACTAGAATAATGTCAGAATTGTTTATGATTTATGAAAATAAGCCTTTGGGAAAAAAGGCCAAGCTTAACATACCTGCCCCCTGCATTTATACTGACAATTTCAGAACAGCCAAAAAAATCAGGTGCAAAAAACTTCACTCAACTGGAACTTGAATTGGGCTCCTACTGCCTTTATGTCTGTGGAATGTGAGCTATGGGTACCAAGAGAACATTTGAAATACAGGTGATACAAATACAAAATATAGACTTGACCTTTCAGCAGTCAGATAAATTGCTTACTAGGAACTGAAAGAGCAAAGAAAATATACATTTTTAATCAGGTGTCACAACTGGACAACCCTTCAAATCAGAGGAGGGGGCCATTAATGTATTTAATACTGAGCTCTACTGGCTTCAAAATTGGTGACATAAATACAGAACTTTCCAACCTGAGAAATTTTAATTTCTATTTCTGAAGTATTCTACATGAAGAGGAAAGACACTGTTGTTGTTGTTTAGGGTTTTGTCTTTTTTTCCCTCCAATAGAAAACAACAGAAAAGACCTCCTATCATTAGAGAAAAACTGAAAGGTGTTTTGGCATACTTCATTATTAATGCAATAGTTAATAGGCATATAAATTCTTTAGGGATTTGCTTTGGCAAATCATACCTATGCAAATTCAAGCATGTTTCATACAAAAAATATCTCAATAAACCTCTGGATCTTGAAGTTGAGCAGGTATTTTAGTCACTTACTGAGCCTGAATTAAAACAATTACAGGCAAAACAGCCCATTAGAAGAAGTTTGGCAACTTACTAAGTAGACATCCAAAACTGAAGCATTATCATTTTCCATTTCCAATGTGCTCTGTTCTGAAGTCAAATAGATGGCACTGTCTTCCAAAGTGAATGTTGAACTTGAAGGTAAGCCTTTACTGCAAAGAGAAGGGAAAGTACAGTCAACCAAAAGCCCAAGTTACAAAGCTCAGTCATAACTGAAAATTTAAAAGTTTCTCTAGTAAACATAAAAATCTTCAAAATACTTGGAAAAAAGGAATGTAAATAAACAAATATAGATATGTTAACAATAGCTAGATAAATGGAAGCTCATATGTGACTAACTGTACAATTTATTTTTGCATTTACTAAAATTTGATCAGAAAGTTATGCTATTCCTGAATGTCAATATTTAATTAATGAATTAAACTATGTCACAGTAAATGTCACATAATTTCATTAATCCCAAAATACATTACTTCCACATTACACATGTGTAAATTTTGGCAGCATTTTGTAATTCAAAATAGGGAAAAGAAAGAGTAAACAATTAGGTACATGGTAACATTAGTGACATTGGACTTTTTCATGCAGACACAGTTCACTAGCAGCCATAAGTTCAGAAGGAAAAGTGGGAGAACAAGAGTGTAATTGGTACACCTATGCAAGGAAGTGATGTTTACAGAGCAGGTGCACTCTATTACTTTATTCATTGATTGATATTTTTTGTTCTCTACCTTACAGAAATGCGCCTCCACAGAAATCTCATTTTGTAACACAGTTGGTTAACAAAGCTAAAACTCTCAAAGGCATTTTAATGGAATCAGATGTCCGTTATCACATATCTTACTAGCTGCCAGAAATTAGGCTCCAGGCTGCACTGAAAATTCAACTGTCAGTTCTGCAGGGGCATTTTAGAAGTTCTTAACTATGTACAGACAAGGTGAAAAGCAAAAATTCTGAATTATAATTTGGTATGGAAACATGGTTACAGCCATCAGTCCAGATATGACTAATTTCCCCCTCCCTTTGTACTACTTTAAGTATATTTCAGATGGGATAGAACTTCAGAAAGGGCAAACTAGCATGCACAGTTCAATATGCAGAAACTAGCATGTAAAGTTAAGATTCAAAGGCTCAACAAAATAATGAATTAATGTTATACTGGAACTATGGCTTTGTTGGCCCCTTGTTGGGCCTCCCCCAGGGGCTCCCCTGACCGGGGAAACTCTCCTGGAGCAGTTTTGTGCCAGGAAAAGGACACGCACAGCACTTTTTTGGTCTTCAGCTTCTTGTTTTATTGTTATCAAAATTTCAGCATGCTGTCTGCACCAGACCTTGCATGCAAGAAAACAGTATAAAATGGCTAACAATCTCGTGTTACAAGGCCTTTTAAGCATAATCAAAAACTAAATTGCCCAATTAAGAAGTGACACCTAGATTATTTTCCCTTCTAACCCAATACTGACCCCTAAAGACCCACAATGCAGATTTTTCTACCCAATTACCTAAGCCCATGAAGAAGAAGGAAGAAGAAGGAAGAAAAAGGAACAAGAGACAACACCCTATACCCTCCATCTTGTTCCCATTTACAACATCCTAAAAATCCTAAAACCTAAATTTCTCACCCAAGTGATATACCATACTACTCTCTATAATCTATTTCACACTTTTGTGGTCTCTAGTTTATTTGTGAGGCTTTGGAGGCCTTCTCCATGAATGAAGGTCAAAGTCAGCACTTCCCTAGAGTAGAACCCCTCAGGGCAGACAGAGAAATATTCCCCTTGCCCTGGGTTTCCACATGGAACAGAGGTTTATATTCACCACATTACAATGTTCCTTTTATCATATAATGCACTTGGTATTTTTCGAAAGCTAGACTCTTTCTCTTGTACTAGGATGACCCAGGTCCAATTGACTTAGCATGACTCTTATATGTGTAACTTGAATTCTATTGACCAAGGAAAAATAGTAAAAACAAAAATCTTGTAATTAATCTCTTAACAGCAATACACATGCTGTCAGCAGTTCATAACTGAAGTTCAAATTTCTTCAATAGCATCATCATAGCCACATTTATTGCCAGTTTTAAAGCAGACTGATTTTAAAGAGACTGATAGGGCAAAGACATACTAGGGGTGGCACAGGAGAGAACAAGTGAAATCCCTACGCATGCAGTGTTTCAGAAAAAGCAATTCAGAGGAATTGAGTTTTAGTACAGTTTCTACAATGCACTGTGTTCTGATCCTTAATTCTTAGGCTGAATAAGAAAAGCCAAGCAAAAAAAAAAAACCAAAAAAAAAAAAACCCAAAAAAACCCAAAAAACAAAAAAACCAAAAAAAAACCACCAACCAAACAAAAAAAAAACCAAAAAAAAACCACCAAAAAATTCACTTCAAGGAGTTGCTGCTGTATAGATTAATTACTCTGCAGCACTTCCTTTCAAAATAAGGATTTATTAGTACTGCAGATTTGGAACATGTAAATATTGTTAATTATTCCTGAACACTTATAAATCCACTCCAAGTTACTACACATTTTGTTCCTTTGGTACAATATCTGTTCTCATCTAGAATTGGTACATTTAAGTATATTTTGTTTTTTTGAATGGACCCTAAAGAGCTAAAGCCATCTGTTTTGAATNAAAAAACCAAAACACTTTTAACACTTTTAACTTTCTGTCATTCAGTGATGGTCAGCCACAAGGAGCTCAGCTATGCTGTTGCCCTCCTCTGGCTAAAGTAGTCTATGTGCTCTAGGTTCTTAATTAATAAAGAAAAAAAGAAGCAAAAATAATTCCATCATTAGATAACTGGGAAAGCTTTGTTTTACTTTAAGACACAATTACATGTCATTTCAATCATAGCCAAATTTTCTTTCCCATGGGGATACCCCCAATGTCTCAGTGCATCTGTTCATAGTGTTTGAGTATTCAAGCCTTTTTCTTCCACCCAACTGCTTATTATCATGAAGCATGTGCGAATTTAGTCCACTTCGAATCAGATTCAGACAAAGTTGTCTAAGCTTCAGAAGCTAACAGACAGAACACTGAATACACAGAAGTTTATTTATGTAGAACACCAACTGGCAAGAGGGGTGCTTTAATATTTCTTACAACAGAAAAACCAATACCTATAAATCCCTGCCACTTCAAAAAAATAGCAGAACAGCATTTCAAAGACTGTATGCTTCAGGAAGTTTGACTGTGTAAGAGAACAAACCCACTGTTATGGTTTGACACTGGCACAATACCAGTGCCCTTATGAAAATGCAATCTCTTAATTGAATGCTGTGAAAAGCAGGCTTAAGTTTAATAACAGGAAAAGAACTTTATTAAGTTACTACTATAAAAGAAAAAAGAAAGGAAATAAAACTACACAAAGATTAAAATGAAAACTTTGCAAAGCATTCCTCCTCCCACCACTCAACTTCAACAAACTATAGTGAAACACAGTCTGGACCCAGTCAGGTTTCCACCTCCAGACAATCGATACTCAGTCCATCAAGGATGAGAGGAGTCTCTCCTGTGCCACAGACCCCCCAGGAAACACAGCTCCACATCCTGTTTTGCCATGTCTCACATGGCACTGCCCGGAGAAAAAGTTTGCCATGGTGACCCTTCTCCTTTCCATGCACAGTGCTATCAAGACCAATGCATGGATGGACAGACTGCTTTTACGATTTTTCCTTTCAAGGATGCCCTGCCAAGAGGGGAAAAAACAACCAGTTTTTCAATTTTTGGGACCACAGTCCCCCACCCATTTTCCCCTGGGGCCAAGGGTCTAAGAACAGAGGTCTTCTTCTTTTCTTCTTCTTCAAGGACAGGGGGCACCACTACAAAACCCCTAACTTTTTTCTGTTCGTTCCACTTCTGTCTTTTCCCAGCTGAAGCAGGTCTCTTGGCTCACTGGCATCCTCCTAAAATACAGTCTCTCTTGGAGGAGAAGATTGGTTCAGTCTGTGGCTACCAAGAAAAAATCCAGCCAAAAGCCCCTCCATCATCTCCTCCCACCTAGAATTTCTCCTTCTAACATCCCAGGGTCCAAGCCGTCTCTCTTCCTCTTTTTTTAAACTGAGGAGTGAAATTTCACAAAGCTTTCATTCCTCAGGAAGGGTTAAAAGTCCCGACTCCCAGGATGGCTCGCTGCCCAGGCTTTGGCTCCCACGGGCAGCTGGGCACCTTGCGGCCCCCAGCTCTTCTCCTTCCTGTGGTGAACTGCTGACAAAACTGCTGCTGGCTTTTTCTCTCTCTCTCTCCCTCTCTCTCTCTCTCTCTTGACTCTGGGGAGGAACGGAGACATCCCAGATTTCTCTACCCTTCCATCTGCAGGGGGCCAGCTCAGCTCCAGTCCCTCCACCCTTGGGCCTACCTCCGAAGGCCACGTGGGTTTTCCCCTCCTGTACCCAGCTCATCGCCGGGCAGGGGAGAGGCTGCACTGCGGCTGACTGGAACCAAAGAGAGCGAGTTCTCCTGGGAATTCTGCTTTTAACCCCTCTGTGTTCTCAGAGGCATGTCCACCTTCCGTTGATCAATATCCAAATTGACCTCCTCCTTCTGAGAAAATTCTTTTTCTGTGTCAAACTATGACACCCACAATCCCTCCAAAGCCTTCTAAAATTCCAAATGGTCTCCACAAAGAAACAGCAACACAAAGGTAAGACAAAAAATTGAAGCATATACAGATAAGAAAGAAGAAGAAGGCAGAAATCCAGACTACATATACATCTTCCAAAAAAGAGGCATAGAATGCATAAAGAGAAAGAAAAAATAGATTTCATATAGATTGTTTCCCTTAGGTTCAGGTGTATCAGAAGAATTCAGCAGTCCTCTTTATACAGCTCAGAATATCTTGGCATTGCTCTAAAGGGGGAGATGAAGTGCCCCTTTATGCATCATGGGATTTTGTTTGGGTTTGGGACTGCAAAGCCCCATGAGACCTGCTGAAAAATATACTGAAAAAAGAATTTCTATATTATTGGGTTATTTAAAACATGAATTGTAAAACATCTACAGTTTGAAACATTTAAAAATATTTTAAAGCAAGTTTCAAATATTTCCAGAAACACCATTGACCTTCTTCAGCTCTTTGCAATTCTAAAAGCCATGTCAAGAGAGACAAGAGTCATAGTGCTTAGGGCATTCAGATTTGTCATCTTTAAATTAATTCATCAGTACTAAATAGGAAGACTTTTCCTGGAAGGAAGAAAATCTGTTATTACTTCTATAAAAACAATCCCTCATATATTATGCAAGTATTACATTTCCTAAGATAAAACAAATAAACCCTTTCAAAAAAGTGATTTTGTACTAATAATTATATTTTCTAGTGGAAAACAGACCCTTTAAGTACTAAAATATCTGCACCAAACATAGACCTACTTGAGGTGATATAGAAAATATTTTAAAAATAGAAAATATATAGAAAATATTTTAAAATGTTAATGGAAGCAATAAATTGTCAATTCTGTTATTTTACTTAAAAGAATACTTGAGATTGCTTACAAGAAAACCACTTGACTGAGAAACAGCTTAATGGAAAAGAAACCAGCTGTCTTCTGACATACAAGAAACATATGTCATGATTGTCTGTTTTTTCTTTTTCTTTCTGTTTTTAGGTCCAGTCCTTTTTGTGCTTAAAAATACAGCAATTTCCCCCTCTCTACTATTCTTTCATTTGTACTAATCCATCTTCACACTGTCTGGATAGCACCTTGGCTTTCCTACTTTTCCAGCAACTGAGGAATAGCTTGGTGAAAATAATCAGCTTGCAGCCTAGAAAAATCCTCATAATAAGCTGTATGTTTATGACTGCTGCTCAGTCTCTGTTTTTCACTTTAATCACAAGTCTCAAAACACTTTTCTGCACTATATAGCAATTAGTTATGCTAGTTTTAACCTGAACCAAGCCAGTTTTACAAAAGCCCTCCTCATAAGGCACAGCTGCAGGAGCTGGCTCCACCTCAGCAATGGAGGAGCATGTCTGCTTAAGCTCAGCAGCAGCACTTTCTCCCTTTCTACCCACAGATGCTGAGCACTCTCAAGGAGAGAGTGTACTAATCACCTTTCTTATGTTATAAGCCATTTGCCTCTCCTTTGGGAAGTATTACATTGGATAACAGAAACAGAGTGTAATTTTTAAGAAAAAAATCCAACCCAAATAAAAAATACAGTGTGTGCTTCAAGGTATGAAAAAATATTACTACTCTCTTTTTAATGAGGGAAATAATATCATCTGTTTTCTAAGTGGTGTGGGCACATACTGGCCATTAGTAGGAGTCAAGGAGCTGTCCAAATATCACATTATTAAGCACACAGGACTCTCCTCCTTTATTACCTTAAACCAGAAATTTCTGACAGGTTACAAGCAAATTCACCTACTCTCTACTGTGTGCTATGTTACTTTGAAGAATAATAAAAAAGCCTGATGAAGAAGATGCCAAACTGTAATTCTATTAAATAGCAAAGCAGACTGTCACAGTTAATTACATATTTGAAGATTGAAAGCAGGCTCACATTTGTAAACAGATCTCTTAATTCAGGCTTTGTTTCAAAGACTGTTCTAAGCTTGCTCTTATCAGAGAGAAATAGTAAAATGGTGAGTCCTGCATCACAAAATTTTCTAATATTCAGAAGAAGACCTCTGGCAAGAAAAAACTCAGATCTGAATCTACAATTCAGTGCATCATGTAGCACGGATTTTTTGGCGAGTTTATTTCCCTGCTAGTTTTTTTTTATGAGAGGACTAAAGTTCCTTCATTGAACCATAAAAACATAAGTAAAACTTCAGATGTATATATTTTTTAGTGCCAAGAAGAAGGAATGACCTCCGTGAACTGATGCCAAAAGAAGTGGGTACAAAACAGCAGGTGCCCAGAATCTTATGGAAATTAGTTCAATACTGAACATACTTTGAAGCCTTCTTAACTCCTAGCTATGACAGGGAAGCTAATTCTCATGAATTGTACATACTGAGATTGTGACACACACCACTGCTTAGCGAGAATTTAAAACTGCCTCCAGGCCCTAGCTGAAGATGGCACACCTAGACCAGCAAAGATGTTAGTTGGTAAGCCCCTATGGCAGATCTGCCTACAGAGTAGATGTTTTTGGCAGAGGATGTGGAGAGAACCACACATCTGTGAATGCTGGTACCAGGTCTGCTGCGGTAGCGAATGTGCCCTCTTGTAATGATGAAGTCCATACCTGGACTGCAGACACTAACAATTGGATTTTTAAAGACATGCATACTAATCACATAGCCAGCAACATGTCCTGCATTAGAGATTATTTAATTGACTGCATCACTGTGGGAAAGTAAACAAGTCTAGATGTACAATCATAGTGTAGATCTGCAAAAAACTTTATTTTAGAATTATTTTGGCATATGTTCACAGTACAATAGAATTACTCATAGGTTTTCTTTACAGTTTAATTTTTAGAGAGTAAAGAATATTTGAAATGCTTTAAATCTGAACTCTTTATTCAGACAACTCCACCATTCTCTTTTCCTGACTGATGCTGATAAAGAGCAGTTCTGTGGTTTTATTTGAAATGCTTAAAGGAAACAAAACCCTCCAGCTTTATTTCTATCAAAGAAAAAGCTTTGTGAAAGATCATGAATATTGAAGTCCTACAGATAACTTGACACAAGTTGAAGTGAATGAGCTCTATTTCTACAAATGCTTATTCATCAGTAGTTTTATTTCCTAAAGCTTGTGGAGAAACATTTTTGTTCTGCAATAAAAACTTCATCTTCATAATACCCCAAAACATGCTTCGTTCAAATTTTTATAGCAAATCATCAGACATATAGAAGATGCCACATCAGTGAAATTTATTTCAATGTAATGGAAGTGGAAGCCGTAAATATCACTATTATCAAGTAATGCTGCAAGTCATTTTACTTTTTATGTAAATACAGTTGTCAAAAATTTAACAGGAGATAAAAACCTACTGCCTCAAGATTGCTTTTAAAATAACTTGACATTTTGGACAACATGCCATTTACAGGAAAGAATTTAATCTTGGCACATTACTGCATTTGTGAAATTTATACACTGAGTAATTCAGGACTCCAAATTTTTCCAAACAATATTCAAGACGCTTGAGTGGCTACCTTCTTGATGAAAACTGGCAAAGAAATAGCTCAATACACTGTAAAAAGATCTGCAAGCAGGTAAGGTGACACAGCACAGTACACTTCAGGTTCACAAGGGAACATACAGGCACATACAATCTCCCAGCAAGACTTACTGGCTTAAGCATGGTATTGGACTGACACAGCTGAAATATATTCAAACACAACTCAAATTGCATTTAACCTAGCTCACTAGCATCTGCACAACTTTTCTTAAGACATTCCTGTTTTTATACTTCCTGGATTAAAACCAGACAGGCTCTAATCACACACATATATGAAGTTTCACACAAATTTACTTCAGAAAATGGTTGTTATAGAAGAATTTAAAGCAGACCATTCAGTGTACATTTACTGTGCATTCAGGATAAAGAACAGTTTTTTTCTTTTCCTAGCACATCACTATTTTCTGCAGCTGTTTTAGTCTACAGCCAAGTTACAAGAAGTACTTCCTACCCTGACCTTAATGTAGTTTGGTTTATGGTACAGACTAAGGCCAAAACAAAATTTAGATATCCAATTTTGTTTTGGAACATGAAGAAAACTTCATATAACCTTTTTCACCATATTTATGCTTTCTATTTCATGATCCCAAATTACAACATGTATAATTACAAAAAAATACATGATAAATCCTACAAGCTTTTGGCACCTGTCCTTCACTGGAAAGGTTAAACACTGAGCTACAGAGACATTTGTCCCTTCTGCTCTTATTTTGCAGAGCCCCCTTCTGTGGAGCACAACATTAAACTTCTAGCAGAACAGATACGGCCTTTACCTGCTAGAATAGAGTGTAGATTGATCACGTGGACAGTGATCGTCTGCATTCAAGGAAGAAGAAGAAAGTGTGGTTGCCAAGGAAGCTGCTTCAAACAGAGATGGAGTGCTGGGCACTAGATCTGGCCGGTGGTGTGAACCTAGTACTGCATATGCAGAAATAAAGAACAATGTTAACAAACTTCATTTTAAATTTAGCCCAAGAATCTTCATGTAAGTATATCGAGTCCCATAGTGCCCTCATAAGCTTCTTGAAGTTTCCTAATGTTTGAATTAATGAGATGGTATTATTCATATGCCCATACCACACTCTTGTATTACAGAGTGAACTTCAGCTGCTAACAACTACATTCAGCAGAATACAGAGTTAACTCCAAAGTCAAATATTAAACAGAGGTATGAGTTATAAATTCTTCTCAGTCTGAGGACTATACTCATATTACCACAGCTCATTTATCAGATTAGATTAGGCAATTGGTTCTGCTTTCATCATGGCTGCAGGCAAGTTCTGAAAGGGGCAAAGTTGAACCTCTTCAAAAAACCTCTGGGAACAATGAACTGAGCTTCAAAACACTTGAAGTGACATGCTTGTCTAGAGGTCAGTGAAAAGGATAGCATTGGTTCTGCCTTTAATTTTCTGCCTGGACTGAACACCTTTTTTCAGGATGTCCTGAAATCTGAAAGTTTAACATCATATTACAAACTTTGACACTGACTTTGTCTTGCTCCTGAAGGTCTATTTTGACAAATATTACTAACTACCCTCTCCATAAGAATAACTTGACTCTGATTTTGAGAGTTCAGCCATACTAGTAGTGTTCTAGTTACAGGACTTCTAAAGCTTATACAAAATTCTTAAAAACATAATTTGTTTATTTGAAAGACCATACCTTCTTCATCAAGGCTGGCATAACTTTGTCCTTCAGCAAGAATGCCATGCTTTTCATCCTTCCACTCCTGGCTAACTGCACACACTATTTCTTGTGATGCTGCCTTTAGGGCTGTGATGGAATTACACCGTTTCTTTGAAGGTGAAGGCTTTAAAGCTGCATTACCAAATGAACATAGATGTTGAATTATGTCATCTTATCTCCCTACACATCTTTACAAAAAGTAAGCCATATAGAAAATCTAGGTTTTGAATACAGATGAAGAACATGTCTAGAAACTTACTTAACAAACATTACATTAATGTAACTCTAATGTAACTAAAGTGAAAAGTATTGTTATTTCATTTGCAAGAGAAGTACTTTTGTCTTTTTCAGTTTCTTACTGCTTATTGTAGGACAATAAGTCAAGTCACTGGCACCACTAATTTAAAAAGCTCCTATGGAGTACCAACCCATGCAATCAAAGACAGAGTGATACAGGAAAAAACCCAGAAAATACAAAAATGAAAAAGACATTTGGAGTATTCTGGGAGGTTGTAATCTTTTTATTTTTGAGCTGTTAACTACTTCTATGTAATGATACTGAAGAATTTCCACTCCAGACTCTTCTGTCAAACTTTTTTTTTTTTTGATACAATAAACACTTCCAAAATCTTGATGGCCTACGCACTCAGGTATCAGCACCTCTTATATAATTCTTAGCAGGACCTGCCTATTTAAAAAGCCTTTTGAATCAAACTCTACAACTGATCATTGCCACTACTACTGAACCATGAGCCCCATCAGTAGTTCTTCTCCAGAAGGATGCCAACAATTTAATTTAGTGTTTTTCAGCTGCTGGCTGCTGATCACCATGCATTGGCTGTGAAGTTACATCAGATGCACTATAACACTTCTTTAATTTCTTTACTACACAGTTCAAAGTAAACACATCAAGTGTTCACTTGGCTGAAGACTGAAGAAAATAATCAGCTACATAGTTCCAGGGTACTTTTAAAAAAGAACATAGAAGACAGTTGCTGAGCTAGCCTCTGCCCAAGGCTAAATTCACTTAGTAAGTTTTTGTTCTTAACTATGCATGGTTGTTCTATGCACTAGTGGAAAAGCCAGATTCAGACAAGGGCTAAAGTGTTTAATCTGAAATGTCTGACTCAAAGCTTAGAAATAATATTATTGAAGGCAGGAACACTCCCAGTATTTTATGAAAGAATAATAATGCATTTGAACCATTAATCTGTATAAAAGTCCATTAATAGCCCTGTATACAGAGGAAATTGATAAAAGTAGGATACTTAGGTTAATAGCTTGGAAAAATGAGACAGATTAATTAAGATCAGAGAGAAAATTTGGCATTATATGCTTTAATTGTACATTATACGCTTCAAATACAAAACAGGTTGTGTCTTGTCCTGGAACAAATCTAGCAGTCAGAATTAGAAAGAATTGGGGGGAAAAAAGATGCCAATATTGAGGTAAGACATACGGTATTTATTTTGTCAAACACGAGTATCAAGTAGTAAGGAGCAGGCACTCTTTATTCTTTATCAATGCAGAGGAGTTCCTTTGAGTATTGCCTCAGACAACAGAATTCCCACCAGTTCTTTGGCAAAATTATTCCAAGATTTAAAGAGAACTAGGTCTTGGGATGCTCCTTTCTCCTTTAAGCTGAATTTTGCTTCACATTTTGTCACATTACATCAATTGCTTCTATTTTCTTATTAATCAATCTTTTCCAAAGGACTTAACTTTGAACACTTTAAATTGTTAACTTACTCCAGTATTTGTAGTAATTTTTGGTTTACTTAAATATTATTTAGTTCTAGTGTTCATTTGTATTTTATTCTCTCTCTGTCCACACAGAATTGTTTCTCACTCCAGATAACTAATGAAAATGTTAAGAGACCAGTATAATAACACTGGTCAAAAAGTATTTGCAAAACACCTTCTATCAGTTTAAGACAATACCATATGCCCAATACTCCTCCTGTAGTATTTGAGCCAAGTGACCATTCCACATTTTGACACTCAAACTCTGAAACAAATACACTTCCATAAGCAGGATTATGAAACTGTCAACTCAGATCCATTTTAAAGTACAAGTTCCTCAAAAAACTAGATAATTCTAGCCCATCAGTTAATACTTATTTCTCAAGAACACTGCTTCATAAAAAAATCCTCAACTCAGAAAACACTCTCTCCTACATGGTAATCAAAACCAGCCATTCTCTTACTAGAAAGAAAAAAAAAAAAAAGGTGCAATTTCAGCACCACCTCCACGGGTTTAAAAAATAATCTAGTAGTAAAGCAGCAAGTTAGTATGTGTGCACACTATTCAAAACACCTAATCTGTATGTCTTACTGTAAGGTTTCATAACACTTGTGATAACTGTTGGAAAAAACTTCATTGCTCACAATAATCCAGAGAGCTTTTCCCCAAAGAACAGCCTGGATATCATCAAACCTCAAGCACTCATATTTGTCTTGCCAGTATATTTATTAGAGACTTTCTTACTGCACATACATTGAGTATGTCTCAGCAGTCGTCACAGAATGGCATGTATTGGAAGTGATATGAAAAATCATCTCGTTCCAAACCCTGCTGAGCCCAGTGACACCTACCACTACAGCAGGTTGCTCAGATCCCCACCAAACTGGCCTTGAACACTCCCAGGATGGGGCATCTACCATTTCTTTGGGCAACCTGTCCCAGTGCCTAATCACCCTCACTTGTAAAGAGCTTCTTAACATCTAACCTAAATCTACCCTTCAGCTTAAAGCCATTCCCTCTTGTCCTGTCATTATATACCCTTTTAAAAAGTCCATCTCCAGCCTTCTTGCACCTTCCAGTACCTCCTTTAGGTACTAAAAGGTTACTACAAGATTTCCCCATAGACTTCTTTTCTCTGGGCTGAACATCCCCAGCTTGCCTAGTTTCACTTAATAGGAGAGGGGCTCCATGCCTCTAATCATGTTGATGGCCCTCCTCTGGACTCGCTCCAGCAGGTCCATGTCCTTCCTGTGCTGGGACCCAGAGCTGATGCAGCCCTGCAGGTGGGGTCTCAGCAGAGCAGAGCAGAGGGGCAGAATCCCCTCCATGGCCCTGCTGCCCACACTGCTCTGGATGCAGCCCAGGACACATTTGGCTTTCTGGGCTGTGAGTGCTTATGGCCATGTATTGTCCAGCCTCTCATCCACCAGCACCTCCAAGTCCTTCTGGGCAGGGCTGCTCTGATCTGTTCATCCCACAGCCTGTGCTGGTATCTGGGGTTGCCCCAACACAGATATAACACTTTGCACTTGACTTTGTTGAACGTGGTCAGGTTCCCATGGGTCCATTTCTCAAGCTTGTCCAGTTCTCTTTTGTCCCCCATCACCATCCTTCTCTGCACTTGCAACACTTCAGATTGAATTTCCTTTCACTAGTATAGTCAATTTAGAAATAAATTACATATAAATTCATTAATATTTATAAGATTCACAAAAAGTGTTGTTTCCTGAAAAGCTACCATAACATATCCTGAATACAGGGAATCACTACTTAGGGTTAATTCAAATTTTTTCTTTTTCTTTTAAGGATTCCTTAATTCTACTTAAAATACCTTAACTATTTTAGTATAATTAGTCTCAGCCTTTTCCTTTCATCAGTCTATCCTATTCTTTTTTTTATTTAGAATTTCACAAAATACTTATTACATAATTTTCTACCTTCTTTTTGCAGTATCAGTTTTCTCTTTTTCATATGCCTTTATACATAACCATGTTTGTGTTCTAATCTGCCAGGCTTTAACAATGGTTTTCATGGGCAGGCTCAGAGTTCAAAGGTTCAATTATCTTTAGAAAAGTGGTTTCAACTTTAGACAATATGCAGAGCAACAAAGGCCAGTATGACTTCTAGTGTTAGAAAAAGTAGTGAAAATAAAACTTGATCTGAACTTTTGATGGAAAAAGTCTGTATGAAGGAGTCTCTAAAGTTGTTGGGTTTTTTGTTTGTTTTGGGGTTTGGTTTTTTTTTTGGTTTTTTTTTTTTTGTTTTTGTTTTGTTTTTCTTTTAATTAGTAAGACGCTAAATTAATTGCCCTGATTTGAGTCAGTTTTGCCTGGGATAGTAATTGGTGAGTGATCTCTCCCTGTCCTTATTTGAACCCACCTGCCTTTTGTTATAACTTTTCCCCCATCTAGTTGAAGAGGGGAAGTGAAACCAACTTTAGACAGCCCTGATGTGACAAAAATACATAGTACATAATTCTCTGTAATTTTACTAATGGAGTAAAATCCCAATTGTCAGAAATTTAGTTTCTTGACTGGAGCTACAAAAGTGCTACATGATGTTGAAGAAAGGCTTGTTTTATTTCCAATACAGGAGCATTATAAGCAGCATTTGTGATTATAAAAATATCTAAAAAGAAGAAGTCACTACTTTCTTACCTTGAACTTTTTTGAAAACTCTTGCATTCATAAACTTTAAAAATCTGTCTGCATAAAAACTTGGTCGGTGAACTGAAACAGTATCCTACAAGATTGAAAAATATCTCAGTCACATTTTCCACAAGGTGTCAAGAAGAACCTGGACACCTCAGGTGAACTATAGTGTGCATTTAAGGCATAGTCAAAACTAGCGAATCATACCATTTATGAGTTATAAATTATACAGCTATAGTCTGCAAAATCTTCCAAGCATTTGAATTTTTTTTTCAAACGGTGTATATTTTTGAGTTATGGATTCATCAGTGTTCTGCTAGCTGGCTAGACTTGTGTAAGTTATAAGGACAAACTAATATTATTAGCTGTTGTTTGAAAGCTCAACAAATAAAACCAGAGCATGTATTGGGAAGATTTCAGCAGCAACTCAAACCACATGGTGAGGTTAAAATGTACCACAAGATTTTTCCTGGTCAACATGAGTCAAAGATCCACCAGCTAAAATATAAGCAGTTTAAAAAAAATCAATAAAATCTACTTACCCCATCATAAACAAGAGCTTTCCAAGAATGTTCCAGCTTCTTCATTAACCTAATTATGTAAAAAACTAAATCAGAACTGCTTTATAAAACTTCCACGTTTATAAGTAATTTCAGAATAGTTTGCTCAGTGAAAATTCATTGAAAGTTGAAGTTAAACTTACCTGTAAGACTGAAGAATATCAATAATACCCATAAATAAAAGCAGCTTTTCACCTTTATGGCTTTTTGCTGGAATACCTCCCATTCTAAGAGAAACAACAAAGAATATTTTTAATACATCTCTGATCACCAGTTACTAGCTGAACTGTACCCACTTGTAAACCCAAAGGAGTAGACAATAATTAAATCAGATGCCACAGTGCAAAGTCAGTCAAATGTGAGTCACCTAGCATGCAGTGGATTTTGAATAAAAAATTTGAAGTATCTGGATAAATATCCACAATTTAAGAAACAATAAATATTTTAAGATACATTTTAGACAGAGTTGGAAATATTCAGATGATCTGTAAAGTGGAAGAAAGTATATATCATTATATTGCTAAGGAAAGTAAGTACCTTTAGATAAGGGAGAATTTTTTCTACTATATGTAAAAAATCACAGAGAGTCTGCACATTAATCAAAGTCTGAAAAGGTTGTTTAATACATAATTTTTAGTGAAAAATATATTACTGTGCTTTTTCAAAATTTCTTTACAGACAGATAAGTGACAGATAAAGCAACAGTATCAAGCTGAGAATCCTGACTGCACAGAATCCAGGGCTCCAGTTGGTCCAGAATCCATACTCAGCCATTAACAGTCATTTTAAGACCTTCTCCTCCTACTCCAACACCTAGAAAAATGGTCCATCCAACCTCTGCATTGTGTTTTGTTCCACTAGCTATTATGTCACCATGAGAGACATAGTGCAAGGAGTCAAAGAAGGACTACAATTGTCAGGATCTGAGTAGCACTGTATTAGCTCAAGTGGTGTGGGAGCCCAGCTAGTGCAACACCTCTGCCATCAACAGCACTAGCCACCTTCCGTGTGAATGTGAGTTGTAAAAACCAAGTGAAATAAAGCTCTAATTATAGTCCAGAGTTCTCAGTGTCTGGAAACTCCCCATGAATACTGAATATCATAATTCTCTCACTTGTTTGCTGTAAGTTTAAGCACAGATTCTGCATCATTAGTTGTATTTACCTAGACAGCTCCCTTGAGAACCAGGAAAAGTAAATCCTTAATTTTTAATTAAATCCTCATTAACATAAAGAACTTATTATATGCAATGCTGAATGATGACGATAATACTCTCATAGAACTTAATATATTATGAAGGAAAAACAAAATAATGACTGTTTATATATTCAAATTTCTATTAAAGTTTTTGTTAGACAGAAAAATAGAAAAAGAACATCAGTTCTTAATCTCAGGAAATATATGACTGCACTTCAGTGGTTCATTATATCATTCTGTGTACTCTGAGTATACTACTTCAAGATGAAAACAACCCCTGTAGGAATATCCTTTTCAATGTTAATTTATAGTTTTTGATTTGGTCTCGCCAGGCTGCTTTCAGTTAAAATTAGATTGTAGCTGGGACTCTTGTAATAGTTGTCTGTAGCATCTCTTTCATAAAAGAATGCACGTGTGCATACATAAGTCACTCTGAACTATCATGTATTTAAAGACTATCAATCTAGTGATCAACATTCCAATATCATGCTCTGTGGCCAATCTTGATGATGCAGGTTTTGGAAAAAAAAAAAAAAACAGGCTCAATCTTTCAATTCCTAGAATACAGTGTACTCATGAAAGTTTTGCCTGTTAATACTTTTGAAAGCAATATTAAGAGCAGGTTACAGCACTTACGTGTTTGTTTTCTCTGTGGTGATGGAGTCTCCAGACTTCCCAGGTCCCTGTATAGACTCCATGGCTGTGGAATAGAGAACTTTCTGCCCTCCATGGCGTTTTGCATCTGATGCAGCCTGGGAACATTCTCCTTCTCTTTCCTTCATGTTACTGTTCAATATATGGATCCCCAGAAGCAGACTGTAATCCATGATCTTAAAACTTTCTAGAACCTACCAAAGAAGGAATGACTATACTGAAACCACAAAATAATTAAACAGCAGCACTTTGAAAACCTGAGAGAAAGCAGGCTCTCACGGCACAAGCTTCTCTTATCAGGAAGTATTTGAAATTACATTTACACAAAAACCTTTTACTATCCACACAAGTCAAGTGCTCATTTTCTAATTAGCTGAATGCTCTTGTAACAAGTGAGAAAGCAAGACGCACAGCTGAAATGTAACCTGATGCTATTTTGTAGTCAAGGAAAATAATTCCAAGGAAGATAATTCCTTTTCCTTTATAGCAAATAATCAATTAATGGTTCCATCGTATACTTATGAACAACATATTTTTAAAATTATCTCTCATCCACATTCCAGACCTCCCTCAGTGTTTTTGACTGTACTCCTCTCTTATCTCCCCTCCACCTCCTATTTATAACAGACACCATACTCTTGGAGAACTTTCAAATGTCAACAAAAGTATTTGCTACCACCACCTTATTAGCAGCTAATGGGATTGGAGTACAAAAATCATGCACCTCTCTACTAGGCTAAATAGAGCCTATCTAAACTCAAAAGACAGGTTTTACTTATGAAGTATGACTTAACCAACCATCCTTCTCTTCTAGCTGTACCAACCATTTCTGTCTCTGGCAGCATGTCTTCTCTCACACACAAATAGTTTCATTTGTTTTTAGTCAGCTACACCATTCCAAAGTCTGGCATGCTATAATTGAAAGGCAATACAGCTCAAGTCAATACCCAAACATGAACTAAAGCAAGCTGCAATCACATCTAGTAATATAACCAAACTGTTCAGAGCAACAGTTTAGTGTCAGACAGCAACTGTGCTTAATATCTTACATGACACTACTAAGTGGAGGAAGAAACACCAGTAACAGCCAGGAGGGATATGCTGTGCCACTCACTCTTTACCTCATGCAGCTCAGCAGTGATTCATGATGTGTTTTGACACATAGTGCCTGAAGATAATGGATTTTTGTCACAGATTCAAGAGGCAACAGTACGTCTTTTTACATTAACAAGAAAAAAAGTGATTTTACAGAGATGAGTGCAGATTCCAGGTATGTAATTTGGATGGAGATTATCCAATCATAAGTATTTTTGGTTAAGCAGAAACATCCCGTCTCTTAATGAAAAAAGAAAAAGCAATTCCAGCATTTGTGTAGGTTTAAAAATTATATGGCAGTAAATCAGTAATTTAGTATGGATCTGTATGTCTAATCATAAGGTTTTTATACCACTTACTCTAATTGCTGGAAAAATACTCATTGCTCAGATAACCAGAGCAGTGATGAAACAAAGCATAAAGTAGAAAGGCACAAAATCAGACCTGATTTTCAGACTCAAAGAATGACTTGAAGACACCATGGGTTTGCTCTTATCAGAGGAATCCTACTCAGCGATGCCTTAGTTCAAATGGAACAAGAAAAGACTACTAATGTATGGCCTTAGAAGTCCACAGCATCTTCTGAGGACAGAATTCACAAATTATTTAATACACAACAAAGCCTGTATTCTAACCACAAGATTCTGAAATTTTGTTGTGCATTGTGTGGACATGTTGGTGGTTTACAATCATAAATTGCAAAAATAGCATGGCTAACAGGTACAAAGGCACTTGGTGCCAAAAACATCTAAAATTTTATATACTGCTTACTTATTGCTACCCTTTACTCAGAGTTTCTCAGAAAGAAATTACAAAATCATGTATTAATTAAAAAATAGGTAATCAATGAATGTTTGCCATCAAATGCTGAAACAAAATTCAGGATAGGCTGAAAAATAACACCTTAGTACAGTAAGCAACACTGTTCATGCAAAACCAGAACAGGAGCTAGTCAGGCTTGGGAAAAGCATTGTCACATTTATTTTACAGTTATAAATTACTGCTGACAGTTCTACCTTCAACATGTTCTTTACAGCATTTTTAATTAGGTCACATTAGATACATGATTTTACCGCACTAATTACATAACCTATGTCTATGACTGGATGCAGTCTCATGGGAGGCTGTGCTGTAATGTGCTGCTCCTTCTTCTACAGGGACCTCTTATGTGATAAAATTAATCCATCACTGCCACTTAAACCCATACTACTTGTACAGTACAACAGATCATGCCTTGACAATTTATGATTTTGGTGTAGGATTATCAAAAAACTTCATAAAAACAAATTTTGTTATTACAGTTCATTAACAACTGAAACGCCTTCACATCCCAAGGATTAACTGCAATACAAATTCTTATAAACAGCACACAGCATAAGAACCCTTGTCCCCCAGACACTGTTCATGGCCCTACTCAGAGATGGCATTACACTGTTCACAGTGTGTCTTTAGGATATGATGATGTGATCTGGCCCTGTCTAATTACATCTTTGATGTACAGTTCTGATTACTTCCCCTTAGAAATGTGATAACCAAACCAACCACTCTTTTTGCAAATTAATATTTGTGACCATATCTAAACATGTTTTGCTCCCCGTTTATTTCTGATGAAACTTCTGGTAAGAATTAACTAACCAAAATAATAAGGAAGAATCTCATAAATCAGCAATCAACAAAACTTTGTGTCAAAATCCTCAGTCTGTATTAAGACAGTAAATTAGTTGGATTTACTGAATAATATCTCACATATTTAAAATACCAAATTGTGACAATTTTAAAATACATAAGTAACATTTTGCACACACAGTTGTACATAATAATCTGTTTCAACAAGGACAAGTTACAAAATGCAGAACATCAAGGCATTTCTTTTCCTATGCTGAGGTTTGTTTGCAGATACTTTTGATGATTTTAGGAGCGCTTTTGAGATGCAGCAGGAAGATTTTGCTACAAAGGCACCAAAATGATAACCTAATCAAAGAAAAAAACCCCACTCAAATAAATTACAATATTACATGGCTATATTCACAGCAAAAGGAGGAAGCCCTGCAAAACACCTGACTCTATCCATGTGAGATCACTAGAAATCAACATAAATTCTTAGAAATACACTACTTATGTAGGTGAAGAGAGGAAACCCCCAATCTTTGCTCATGTAACCATTCTGACATGTACCTTGCTAGCAAAATGGCACTGTGGGGTTTCAGGAAGAATGGTCTCAACCATGCTGTGTACTAACAAGTGGTGTATTTGATAATGACAATAACTGAAGTAAACCTTCAGTTCATTAATTAAACATTAAATTGTTTATCTTGATAGTATTTATATGTGTTAATGCACTAGCTACACAGATTCTGTCAACACAGTGTTGTCACTTGGTCATGAAGTACTGCTGTCAAGGCTGACTTCAGCTGCTCTGAAAACTTCCAGATGGCAAGTGGCACTCACCCTTTGTAGCCTTAAGCACTATTTTGTTTCATACCACATAAAAACCCACACTAAAATGGCATCACAAAATATGTTGATGCAGAACATGAAAAATTAATTCTCTGAATCAGATTTTCTTTTCTCAGAGGTAATCAGATGTTAAACTATTCTGTGAATTATCTTAGACATGGTTATGCTCCACTATCTCAGCCAGTGACTAACAGTGCAAAACAAGTATTTCTGCCACAAAATGTCATTTTTATTTTATATGCAGCCAGCCTGAGCTACACACTATCTGACAGAGAAATCTGCATTTACATTTGCTATCCATGCAAAACAGCACACAAAAATGTCATCAGATCATTTTCATAAAAGGGTCGAGAAAAATACAACTCAAAAGAAAAAAAAATAGAACCTTATTTAATAAAAGTACTAAATGAACAACCATGCAAGGAAGTATTTCCTCTCCTACAAGCATTTTGGAAAAGCGACAAAAAAATTAACACAGTAGAAAGAAGACTAATTTTACAACATATCAATAATTACTATTCAACATAATGAGCTATATGAAATAAACACAAATTAAAGGACTGTCTCACAAAATAAGCATGTCTTAGGAACAAGTTCACAAATGTCAATGCCTAAAAATGGGTCTGGTTTAGAAAAAATCTACCCCAAGAAAATGAATAATCACATTCCCACCAAAACATATGTGGAATCACTTCCCATTTCAACATAATTCCCCAAACTAACACTACAAAATTAACAATCTAGATTCTGATTTTAAAAGTAGAAGTAACGAAAAATTCCTAAGGTCAATTGATACTATAGGAGTGATAATATATAAAGATACAAGAGATCTACAGCATCATGCTATGGTCATTTCCCTCAAACTACCATTTCTGACAAAGAGGCCCTTCATCTAAGATTAGTATGTTCTCCATCTCCATGCCGCATCATGCCATCTTTTATTTCTGTCCTACGCTGCAGTTTAACACTTCATTAAATTTGCCAACACTACTGTTTGTAAGGATATGCTGTACAATGGGTCACTGAAGTTATTTGGCTTAAAGAATTATCTGTGTAGATCCTTTGAGGTAGAAAAAAGGCAAAAAACTGCAAAACACACTACACATGCTATGAAGGAATTTGAAAAATTCTGTGGATAAATTTGGTTATACAAGATCTGCATCACATTTGCTACAGTACAAAACAGATGTGCAATCACACCAAAAAACTTTTGTAGCAACTGGCTAAGACAGCAGTGATGAAAATAATACCCAAATCTCAAACTTAGGAGACATGACCATCCTGAAATTTCCTTTACAGGATTTTTCATTAGTCACTTTTAAAATGTAATTTCCTCAGAAAATTCTAGTGTTCTTTGACATAAAGGTAAAATGCAAACTCTCAAAAAACCTTCATTTCTCAATAGTAAATACATCTTCATTTTTTCTTTTGCTCTTAAAAACTACATGATCACAGTTTGATTAATTGTTAATGCTTCTCCAAAAAGGCAAGGATAGGATAGCTACAGAAAGTCTCACCAATAGTCTGGAATTTGCAAGCTAGTTCAAATTTTCAATTGTGTACATTGTATATATGATAAATTCATGAATGTTCCATCTTTAGGAACATTGCATTACACTCTTTGGTTCAGTTAAGTTGCAAATTCTGCAAAATGAACTGTGAGACAAGTTTTCAGACCCTGTCACCTCAAATGTGAACAAAACAAGCAGGGGATGCAGGAGCTGAACAATGCAATCAACCTGTACTTGTTCCAGCATGGATAATCTGGAGGCACCAGACCGTGAGGGATCACCACAAACAACTCAGCCCCATTCTCTAATTGGGCAGGTCATGCATCTCCTCACCAGCACTGCCAAGAGGTGTGAAAGGCCAGAACTTTTCCAGCAGTGGTCTACCAATCCAGCACTGCATTCCCTGGGGAAAAAGCTCTGTGTCAGGTGTCAGGATGGTCTGTGCTGGCTGAGTAGATGTATCAGGAGGCCAATTCAGCTAAACAAAGAAGATACTGCACAGCTTGAATGTGAAAAGGCAGCATACAGGACAGGTGAAGACGGACAGGCTAGAAAGGAGGAATAGAGAAACATTGCCTGAGCATCTAGGGATGGCAGCTGTGATCAAGGAGGCCAAAGGCCAGATAGAATTGAGACCAGCAAGGATATCAAGACACAGAGAAAAGCTGCCCAAGGAAAACATGAGTCCAGTGGTGAACAGGGCAGAAGATTCACTGACAGCAGTCACAGACCATAGCAGGTCCCCACCACAACTATCTTTCATTACCAGGAAATTTTGCCAGGCCTCTGAACTTAGCAATGGATCTTAAGGAGGAGAGAGCTAGCAACCAGGGATGTTTATATTTAAGAAGTAGGAAAAAAGTCCATTACTCCCTGATTCTGATTGCATATATGAGCAATGGAAACACAACCCAAATTTAAGCAACACAGAAGAGAATATCTTAGTTCTGAAATACTGGAAAGATCAAAAATTTCCTTTCTTAAATTAATTCCTAATTTCAAGTGGCTACACTAAATTCTTCACTTTGAAATAGCAGTAAAAAGAGATGACAAGTTTTCAAGTCCTAAAAAGCTTGTCAGTTATCACTATACCCATCCAAATACCTCATGGGTAGAAAAAGCAGAGGCAGCACTGATGCCCTGTTCACAAAATGGATGGAATATTTCTGGTCTTTTAAAGGCAGAAATAAAAGGCAGATAGTTTATAAATAAACTATCTGCTAAATTTATAAACTATCTCAGCTAAATTTATTAGCTGAGCAAATTCAGCAATATGAAAGATAATAATGTCTGCTCCCTCCATTTTACAACACAGAGTAAGACTTGACTAGAAAACAAAAATTAATTTTTTATATATGTATAACTTTCAGTGTGTTTATATGCAGATACACACAGATATATGCCTTATTGTGTATATGTGTATTTTTGTAAATACACAGATTACTATAGGATAATTTTCTTCTTTACTTTTAATACTTTTAAAATTTAGCTGGGCCTTTAAGAACCCTAGACTAACTTTAGAGTTGTTAATTTAAGATATACATGGAAAAAGATTGTATTAGCACTCAAATAACATGTAGCAGGAATTTTCCCAGACTTCCAAAGAATCATTAAGAGTCCCTTTATATGTAACAATTAAATGATTGATTCTTGTTTTTACTTTTCAGTCCAGTTACATATTTTAGATACTCTCTATTATTTCCAATAAAATAGATTTCCCCAAACTTTGACTGGGTAAGTAACCTTGGACAAGTGGGGGATGCACAGAAAGGCATCCAGATCCCCAGATGTGACATACTGATGCATTCTCTGTCATCACACATGGTAGGAGCTCAGGAAATACTCACTGCAAGAGACTACAGAGAGAACAATGTGTCACGTTAGAAAAATGTCTCATGCTGAATACACAGCTGAACATTAGGTCACACAGCTTTACAAACCAATCACAAGGCATTGCAGACTTCTGTGATAAACAAAAAATTCTATTCATGTGAAAAAACAATGCTTTTCATCTTGTACCACAGGTGGCAGTGAACAGCAAACTCTGATATTCAGGGTGTCTCTTCTATGTAGTGAGTTCAGACTATCCATTTAGCTTTATTATTATTAAAGTCTTATGATTTCCCTCAGGCAAAGCAAATTTTTTCTTTCCAAAACCCCATGAATCCCAGGAATTTCTGAGAGATCTGGAGTCTCCCTTTTCCTTACATTTTCTTACCTATGCTACAGGAAAAAAAAACCCTATTTTATAGCAATTCTCTCTGTCCATAATAGAACTGATTCTGTTCACCAAGGTCTGCTCAAAGAGCAATGACAGGTATCCCTCTTCTGACTTGAAAATATTTTGTGGACAGCTTTTATGTGGACTTTTGAACTGAGGAAAAATTACCTTGCTCTAGAAGTAAAACTGCTGCCACTAGGCCTACCTTCCCATTCCGAGGTAACCAATTCACAGCAGCTCTACATACAGTTTATCATACATAATAAAGTTTCCACAGGGCTAATTATGCCTCAAGAAAAACAGATTAAAATCTACAAATTAATGGAGATTTATCATTATCATCAAATCTACTGAACTTCATTTCTGTATTAATCTGTATTGGCACAGATGGATCAGTGCAATCCTGGATGTACATAGAAATAGAGTGATAGCCCTGGAACTTAGGGTTGCTCTACATCATAAACTTAATGAACCAGCAATGTGCTCTGGTGGCCAGAATGTCCAACTGTATCCTGGGGTACACTGAGCACAGTACAGCCACCTGGTTTGAGAAAGGTGATTGTCCCACTACACTCAGCACTGGAGCAGCCTCACCTCAAGAACTGCATGCAGTTGGGCTCTACAGTGTAGGGATGATATAAAATATAAGAATGTGTCCAAAGGAAGGCAACAAAGATGGTGAAAGGACTACAGGGCATGATCTGTGGGGAGCAGAGGAAGATGTAAGGTTGAGGGTGACAGAAAGGATGGTGCTGATCTCTGATGCCTGGTGATAGGATGCAAGGAAGCAGCTTAAAGCTGTATTGGTAAAGTTCAGAGTGAATAGAAGAAAAGGTTCCTCAGTGAGATGGTGGTTAAGCACTGGAACCGTTCCACAGTGAGGGAAGTGCTCATGGTCCCCAGTCTTGGTGTTCAAAAAGTATATGGACATTCCATCTGTGACTATGATCTCAGATCACAACAGCTTAACTAAAATACAGGCTTAATCAGTGCTCTGACATCCATAGATATCCCTCCTTAAATAGCATGGAAAACAAAGGGAGGTTAAGTAATCTGTACTGAGTAAATTTAGAGCAGAGGTGAAGACAGAAGTTTAAATAGATACTCACCCGACAATCCCGCTGTAGTGTTTTCATTAATGCACTGTGTGTTTCAGAGTCAAAATACAACCCTTCATGCATATCTTGTAGGAAATCCAGGTCTTTGTATGTAGGGTTGGACTTCTCCCTCTCTTTTCTTGACGCTCTGCGTTTGTATGTGGAGCCTTTCAAGTCATATGTGAAATGCATTTTCAAGGCTCGTGGCAAAACATTGTTCATGACAACAATTCTAATGTTAATGCCTCCTGACTGAACGCAGTACAGCCCATAAAATTTGGGAAGAAGAGTCCTTGGATTCTGGTTCAGATTCTAAAACAAAAGAGATATTTTAAAATATGTCTATTTTTAATGAACTTCCACACTTAAGAAAGGGTTTTCTTTAACACCAAAAGATATTAACAAACACAAAGACAATTATGAATGTTTTCTTATTCAGCACAGTTTCTTCAACCAGTTGACTATCTTTGTGGGTTTCTCTTCCAGAAAGCTAGCATAGGTACTGCCTTCTTACTGGGAACTTATAAAGACCAAAAACAGAGAGTGACTACATTTAAGCCGGGTTTCTCTTTCTCACAGAAAACAACAGACTAGGCCAAACCTAAAAGCATCACAAAGACTTAATTTATTTTTTCTGACCTGAACAACCTTTGAGTTTTACCTGCTGGAAGGAGTTTGGGTTAAATGTAGTTCTCATTATCTTGACTTGGATTCTGAAAAACAGAACCCCTCTCTCCATAAGGCTTTACACAGTCAGGGTTAGTACCGAATGACTAAGTTATTTCCAAAGGCGTGTGAGGTCATAATAGAACCACAACTGACCACCAGAACAGAAAAATGTAAAATAATCCAAATTATTTATAAAACAGGCAAAATAAATTAGGTAGGAAAGGATAATAGAGGTGAAAAAACAGGCAATATAAATCAGGTAGGAGAGGATAATAGAGGTGAGAGAGAAAATCCTTCTTCTGAATACAACTGTTCTCAGTCTTCAGCATGAAAAAGAAAGAAAAGGAAAAACTACTTCAGGTATTACATGATTACTAAGTTACAACATACAACTACCAGACATATTTTCACAGAAGTAATCACAGTGATTGAAATTTTATATTTTGGAAGCAATTGCATAGCAGTGAGAATAAAGTTCCCAGAAACAATACAAACTGGCCTTATATGTACTTGTAATAACTCAAACTTGTGCTGAGTGGATTATCATGATTAGGAACAACAAAACCTGCCATTATTGTCTTTTTTCATGTGTCAGTACATATCTCTTTTTTCTTACACACACAGTGAATCCATGTTACTTTCATGCAATAATGACAACATTCCTCATTTTTAGTATAAGTGAGAAGGTAATTTTTCAAGTATTTACTTCAGAAAAGAAAGCAAGAAAAGAAAGTCAGTCACAGGTCTAATAATACAAAGTCCCACATACCACCCAGAAGAATGTCTGTTCATATGTATAAGTGGTTTTTGTTACAAAAAAAAAAATTAAATTCTACTTACTTTTTAATCAGTGGTTTTCCCTTCAGATGACACACAAACCCCAATACAATGGACTTAGAATTAGCCCTCAAAAAGCTCCATTCAAAAACTAAGTTTTGAACAAATTACATGGATAAAAATATCTTTTACATGATTGCTTTAATACATGAGAAATGGAAATCGAAAGTAGTTGGAAACAAAAGGGAAACTGACCGGTCTAGTTTCTTTGTCCACTCTGAGTGAAATGCAGAGGGTAGACAAACACAAAATGGAGAAAAAAAACTGAATTAGAAATTTAGAAACCTTATTTTGTTACTAGCTTATTAGAAGCAAAGTTTGGTATCAAATTAGATTATGACATTTAGCTTCACCTTGAATGCTTAAAAAAGCACCAATTCTTATCTTAAATATCTTCTTGGTTTATATCTATTCTTTCTGTTGGGTGTGTATGGCATGAAGAAGAAAGGCAGGTAAAACATAAAAAATATCACAAAAAATACAGATTAACCCAGTGGAATATTTCAAGACAAATGGAACTGATTCTTCAGAAGTGACATGAAACAGCAGAATTAAAGGTAAAATACAGTTTTCAAATACTTACCATATAATAGCCGGGCAAGAGCTTCTGAAGAAACTCAGCCTCTTTGTGTTGAACTGTTTTGATGATGAATTCATCACCACTAGTTACAAAAAATAAGGATCCACTTGCACCTGGGTTGGATAATTCAATTAAAGGCTCACTGCAGATTGAGTACTGGAAGAGACAAAAATTGCTTTTCATTGCCCATGCATGTGTTACCCAAACACAAGTTTAATATGAAGAACTGCAGGTTCAAGTAGTCACAAGAGAATTATGTAGCAACACTACTGCTGCTAGCTGAGTCAGGCCACTCTGCCCAGGCCATGCTGCACAACCATGGATGAACAGCTGGCAGCTAAGCATATAATCCCTCTTCATGTTCCAAAGCAGATTCCTTTGGAGTGAAGCCAGTGGTTGATGAGGAAGGAGTCGATCTCCATGCTGCCAGCATAACAAACTCTGAGTTAAAAACTTTGAGAAGACATTTTCACTGGAACTGTTTGCTTTTCACAACCATTTTTTTGAAAGAAACAGGTACAAGATGGTAGAAAAACTGTGAGTAGGGTTTTTTCATTATAGAAGAATAGGCAAATCCTATTCTGTGCAACTGGGATTGAAACCATTAGACTTGGTATAGGTATAGCTACTGAATTTAGTATAGTTACTGATTTTTAAAATAGTTTACTAGTTTTATGATTGAAAAACAATTGAAATAGAAAAACTCAATACCACTAAGTAAGAAAAACTGGAATTTGAAGAATCATTATATTGCATATTTAGACAGGCTTCCTTTTCCACTGGACACATTACAAATTACAATCACATTAAGGAGGAAAAAGACACAAGACTACCCCTTACTAGTAGAACTACACTTACACAGAGACTAATGTACATTTATTAAGTGTCCACTATTCCAAACTTCATTCAAATTATATGAGTAGACATTCAACTCAAAACCATAGAAAAATCCGTTTATATTAAACTTGAAAGCAGTAATACCAGAAAAGCTAATAAATATGTTCTTTTCTGAGCACTTGAACTAAAGAAGCATCTTTCCTGTGGGTTTAAGCCATTACCTTCTTATCCTAGCTCCAGCTAAGGTTTATAATTTTTTAGAGAATTTTCCATGATATCTCCCTGCTTATAGTCAATTCCAATTAATACAAAATGCCTTTCTTGTTAACATTATAGTTGCAATTTTCTACAGACAGAATGGCCATACTAAACCGTAACACTACAAACCTTTACACCAAATCAGCAGTTGTACTGCAGCAATTGCATTTTTCTTGTCAAAATATTTCGATCTTAATGAGTAACTGTCACTGTGATAAGCATTTTAATGCAATTATCCTAAACATTAATGCTCAATAGAACAATAAAACATAAGCAGAAGACATTGACCTACACTCTGCATTGGTCATTTTCCAGTGGTATGCATTTCTGTAAAGAAGTCCACCCATCAAATGCTGCTATAAAAAGGGCCCAGCTAGTTTTGACTGGACACCTCTGGAAGGTAAATCAAAACCAAAAGGTAAGAAAATCTCCAAGGGCCTGACAAGTGAGTATTTATGATCAAGAAGTTTCCTTACAAAATGACAGTACTTCATGAGGTTTACAGTGATAATTTAATTCTACCAGCTATTCAAATGTATTTATGCTTGTTATCCTATCTGACTCCTACAGTTACTGCTTATCCTCCTTGGAAAAGGTGAAGCTTTAAATCCTGAGCTTTGTCACTTCAAATTAACAGTGTAAAGTCACATATGCTTGCTGTAATTTCTGCTCTTATTTTACTTCACATACCCTTCTGCCACAGCTGGACAATCATTTACTACTTACTACATACCACTTGTGTGTTTTCCTGTGCTAACAGAAAAAAGAATCTGCAACAAATTGTCTTTATTGGTACTTCCCTCAGGGAATACTCTTTTTATACTTAAAATTACTGTCACGAATCTTATTCACAGCATGTAGTTTTTGTATAAACTTTCACTTCTGCTCCTGCAAAAGCTTCCTCAGATGGAAAAGAAGTTGTAGGTGATAGTAACTTTGCTCTAAGAAGCACAACCTTTTTAGCAGCTGGCAGCACAGCCCACATACTTCATCTTTTACCAAGTCCATAAAAAGAGATAAGATAAATAGCATATTACATAGTGACACAACTGGCACCCATGATGTCCTTGTCTCTAAACTGGAGAGGCATAGATTTGATGGATGGATAACTCAGAGGATAAGGAATTGGTCATACTCTAAGAGTTGTGGTCAATGGAAGAAAGAAATTCTTCACTCTAAGGATGGTGAGGTGCTGGAATGTGTGGTCTAGAGAAGTTGTGGATGCCCCATGTCTAGAAGTGTTTAATACCAGGCTGGATGGCACTTTGAGTGACCTAGTGGGGGAGGTGTCCCTGACCATGCCAGTGAAGTCAGAAATAAATCTGACATATAAAGTTGCTAATTTGTACCAGAACTCTGATTTCATCAGTGACCCATCATGAAACAAACTGAACATTGGGCAAACATCTAGAAGACAATCCAGTTCAGCATTCATCCTATCCTTCCAAAAGCAGAACTACAGGAGAAATAAAACAGCAGATACTTGTTCCAGCAGTATACAAAGTGGTTCCACCAAGTAAAGCCTGCTTTTACAGTGTCAGCAAATTTGTAACATTTTTCCTTGTGTAAACTGAACACTGTGAAAGAATAAGTCTTCAATTTATAAAATAGAGAGAACAAAGGAAACATTCTAAAATGCTCCATTTTTAATCTGTCATCCATGTGCCTCAAAGCTAGACAGGAACATTTGCAGACCTCACTTTGTAATGAAATGTGTAAGCAACACAAATCACACAAAAGTACTTAATTAGAAATGAATTGATAAAAGTCACAAACTTCTCTAGAAAATCATCTGAATGACATAACTCCTGTAGAAAATCATCTGAATGACACAGATGTTGCTCCAGTTAATTAACAAGGTAGGGTTTTTATACAAATTCTCTCAAAGATAAAAAATTAAATTTTTTGTCACCATTAAAAATATTCACTATTTATATACCCCTGTGCACACAAAAGTTCTTACTGATTTGGGCAACCTTTAAGAATCCTTTTCTGCCACAATGAACCTAGCATGCTTTATAATAATTTGTAACTCAAAGGAAAACTGCAGGCTCTTACCAAATAGTCATCAGGCTTGATACCAAAAAGTTCTCTGAAATAGCGGAAGGCAAGAGGTGCATATGTCTTAAATCTGAAGTCAGGGTAATGATGAGCAGGCGTAAGATTGCTCCCTTCACTGAAAACAAAAACAAACCAAACCAAATTACTAAGTAATTATTAGCAGCTAGTTTCACCACTAAGCTGTATAACTTGACCGTTTGTGCGCTGAGAAAAAAGCATAAATGCAGATAAACCTCTCTATCATCATTAACCACTAATACTGAGACACCGTCCATGAGAGCCACTGCCAGCAAATTCCTTTTTCTCACTTTAAAGGAAAAAACTATTTTCATCGCCTGTATGCATTTGCATAAAGATCATGTTTAAACATGAACAAGACAAAATCCAGAAGTCCAGGGTAGACTGACTCCACCAAGTTCTGAAAACTCTTGTGTCATGGTTGCTGTGCTCAAGACGACTCCAACCATGGCATCTCCCACCAGCCAGTCTCTGTTTCTAAGCAGCAGATCCAGTAGGGCAGCACCCCTGGTAGGCTCACTTCCCAGCTGTGTTGGGAAGTTATCTTCACACACTCCAGGAATTTCCTAGACTGCCTCCTCTTCCATGTTGAATTTCCAGCAGACATCTGGCAGGTTAAAATCACCCACAAGAACAAGAGCTGACAATCACAAATCACCATCACATCATAGAATAGTTCATCCACCTCCTCATCCTGGTTGGGTGGTTTAAAACAGACTCCCACCAGGATATATCTGGCTTTCCAGCCTTCCTCCTGATTGTCACCAATAGGCATTAAACCATCACTATCTTTGAGCTCTGTACAATCAAAACACTTCCCAATGTACAGAGCCACCCCACCTCCTCTCCTTCCTGTCCCTCATGAAGAGCTTGGAGCCATCCAGTGAAGTGCACTGGTCACCCCACCCTGTGTTCCTGTGGCAGTGATTATGTCATGGCTGTCCTGCTACTTTATGGTTTCCAGCTCCTCCTGTTTGTTACCTGTACTCCTTAGCTCTTTTCCTTGTTTTATATTTATCACCTCACTGTATTTTTAGCCTGAGTAACAAAACTCTTGAGATGAATACTAGATATAAGATAAAGGCCAGCAGCAAAATGCTGCTAGATTAAAAAAAAAACCAAAAACAACTCTATGCCCATGGATTCATTTATGATAGAAAATGAGAGAGGTCTTTTAAGCAGAAGAAATCAAGTTCTATACTGTGATTTCAAAATAAACAAGGACACCTTTAAGACAGTTTTGGTACTGAAATCAGCTAGATAGAAACTTTCTAACACATATTTATTAGAGTATTAGAAAGAGAACCTTTATTACTCTGGGGATCTTTTCTCTAATCAAGTGCCCCAGAGTCATGTGAACAGAGTTTTCATCATACACACTGATTATATATTAATTAGCTATCCTCACATACTTGACTTTATTTGACATAATCATACCCCTTATCAGAAATCTTCATATGATTCTTTGGGCTCTGTCTTCAATGTCCAGTGTCCTTTCTATGTGGCTGTTCCTTGACCTCTGCTTCTGGGTAAGTGCAATATTGTTGTTTTGTACAACTTATACTTTGCCAGCCTTGTAGAGCTGAGCTGGCATCCTGCTTGTGTTTTGCATGACTTCTGTTTGCTGAGGTTACATCCTTTATTTATATCTCCAAGACTGTGCTGTTGTGTTCCACTGTCCTTGATAACAGCAAATGCTGTTCTGTTTTACTGTTCTTATCAGTTTGGCCAGTGTCTGAATGGTTTGATAGAGAAATACAAAATCCAAGACTTGACACAGTTGCTGAAATAAGCTTTTCTAACTCTTCTTTACTCATTTACTGTAACTAAATTATTCAGTAATGCAGAATGTACCATGATGCTTGGGAAAAAGAATATCCAAAGGACACCAAAAAGAAAAAAAGGCTACAAATTCACACAGGTATGAAAAGCAATAAATATTAAGCAACAATCCTGAAAAACATAATTAATAATAATTAAATATAATGAAAGAATTTAAGAGCTTTCATCCTGTACAATTAATATTTGTCATATCAACTTACCGCTTTTCATTAACAACAGTTTGATGACAGAAGCCTACTCAACTCACCTAGCTGCCCCTGTGCTGCCAAACCCCTCACAACTGAACTGTTTCAGTGACAGCAGGTGAACAAGCTTTCTCAGTCTCCAGAAATGTATAACACTTCAGACTCTTGAACAGCAGATGCAAGGAGGAAAAAAAAATCAAACAGATTTCTTTCTGGAATTCACATATAAAAAGATGCTTGTGGATGACATACATATGAAGACAATAGAATACTGCTGCTGTGTTAAACCCTACAGGCAATAATGATGGCTGCCTAGTCCTAAGGAACTCCTCTGATCACTTTGCAGTATGACTCCAAATATCAAAATCAAGTCCACATATGCTTTATTGTTCCATTATAGAGCTAAAAATGGGTATCAGTAGGATACAAGCTAAAGATGGTAGTGTTTATTTATAATTAACATAGACTAATGTTCTTTCATAAGGCCTCTCTTCTGCTCAAAACACTGCTAGATTTGTCAGACATTAAGTTGTATATAGCTGGTTGTGACTCACTGAATTTTTGTACAATAAGAGGATGTCCCAGTGGCCATATAGTTACACTGGAAATCTGGGGTCATACTTGTAAATGGATTTAATTGTCATAGGAATGTAGAAAAGAATAGAACAGAGTGTTCTCTACTGAAGTATCACATAATTGTCAGCAAATATAAAGTACCTAAACTTTTTAAATAAGTTTTACATTTTGGTACTAAGCACTTTTATAAATCTGCTTCCTCCAGCTGTAGCTCAAAAGCTTCTCCTGTGAAAGCATGTCAGCAAATAGATTATGTGTCGTTATTATACCAGAACATATATTGTCACTTCACTAAGGTGACATGAAGGTAGGAGGTTTGCTATGACAATAGGACAGTTCTGAGGCATTCCTAAGTGCATATGGAGTAAAATGACAATGCTGGGTGCAAGTAACACTTGCACCTTACTTTGTGAGGTGCACAGTAATGCATAGCAAGTGGAGATTTATTGCTAAACAGGGCAATTATTTTGAAACAGCTTCTACATAGAGGGCAATTCTATCTATTTAGAACACATCAGACACTTTATCACAGCTACTACATTCAATTTCCCTATGCAGACAGCTTTCTTACTCTTTATAAAGTCATCTTTAAAAACACCTTCTGTTTAAGGTCTACAGATTATTTTACCATACCCTGTTTCTGTTAATCATATTGATTAGTTTCAGCTTCACTACTTAACAGAACAGTTTACTGATCCAAACAATAAGCTCTTCTGTAATTCATGAAGCATTGACACAAAGTTAAGATTTCTTGTTAATACTTTGTAAAATAGTTTTAAGGTTTTCCTGATGGTACTTTTAATAGAAAAAGCACCCTCACTTCCAGTAATTTCTTAGAATAATGAAAACCTTTCAAATGTCTTATCAATTTGAAGCTCGCATAACAAGTATGAATTGAGTATGGCCTTGCTCTTTATGGAAAAAGATAAACATCACTGTACAGAATCCTTGATCTCAGTGCATCCCTACCCTATTTATAATTATTCACATACCACTCTATTAGCTATTGAAAGAATGTATTCTGTGGTTTCTCTTCACATTTTCTTGATGCATTTTACAGTTTCACTCTCATGGGATTAAAGTGTATGTGCAAAGCACTAAATAGAATGATTTTTAATCAGTCTAGGGAGTTTCAAGGGGATGATTACATCTTTGAAATTTAACAAAAAAATGCCCATGATCCATTGACAAAAAGTTAAAATTTGTACAATGGTACTTTGGACATAATAAGAAAGGGGGTAACCATGTAATTTCCTACTCAGCTAGTTTAAGGACAGATCTACCAGCAAAGCAAAGATAAAGACTTTAACTGATTCTGGCAATCTTGAGCAATTCAAGTATTTCTATATGAGCTATGGCAACAAAATACAGGCTTTGGAACGATTAGGCAGCAATTGTAATTTATGAGGTATTTTAATAACCTTAGATGTTATACCCCACAAAAGAAAAAAAAGATTCATAGGCTGACTAAGCTTAAAATGCAAGTTTGGTTTAATACTTATATTGCAATTTTAATTTTTATAAAATCAAGCACACCTAGAAATAACAGTATGTGCATCTAAGCCTGCCTCTTTGTAAATGCTGAGAGTGGATTTAAAGCATAGGTGGTGTAATATCAAACTAAAAGTGAAGTAAAATTAATTAAAATTTTAATGGCTAAAAAAAATGGCTGTAAAAATTTGCTAAACAAGACACCCAGATACATTTCTTGGCAGCTTTTCTTTCCTATGGCCTCCCCCTGATAGGATGTCCTCAGAAGATACCACACCTATCTGAAGGGGCAGAGAAAGCCAGCTGCATATCTTGGTAGCAAGCCTTCATCACTGAGGATTGTTAAAAGGCTCTGACAGAGCTGTTATCAAAACAATTAGTCTGTAGTTATGACCATGTGTATAACTTTCCTGTGTGTATTGTAAAAAAACTGAAGAGGAGGAACATATCAGTTCTTTCAGTGAAAGAAATTATTTTTTACATTGTAAAATAAAAAAAAAAAGTCTAAACTTAAACACTGCAAACATTAAAAATGAAGATTATCCAATTTCCATTTCATTGCTCTTGAACACAGCTGCTTTTTAAAACTTAAACAAAATGTGTTTCAGCTCTAAAAACTGTATCAAACAAACACATAGGTGATGTACTGCTTTGGTAAGTTCCTCTCCTGTATGTAATTTCAGGAAAGCTTCATTTCCCACATGGTGGAAGCAGGTATCATGTTTATCTGTACAAAGAGGTGTGTCTGTGTTTTCTTTGTACTCTGGGTTAAAGTCCAGTGGCAACATCTTTTTCTCTCACTTACATTTTCCTAAACTTCCAGTTACCAAATGCTGTCCTAAGCAGTTCCCTGCAAGTCAGCTTTGAAATACAATTAGGAATAGTAATTAACTTAAAAACAGGTCAAGTCAATCATACCTACGTAACAGCTGAATATAGAAGCATTTACTTATACTTATGAAGATATTATTTTATAAACAACTGGAAATGGTATTAAAATACA